TCTTGGTTTAGAGTAAAAGAAGAACGATGAATGATTAGAATGAGATATAAGCAGCGTGTTTACATTTAGAGGAGATGTGAGCGCCACCTGCTGAACTCAAACAATCTCAACTTCAATATAAAACACACACACACACACACACACACACACAGATGTGTACCGTGTCCATGCCCAGCAGGACCAGTAAAGGGATGGTTGTGAGGCCTCCTCTGATCCACTCCTCCAGCGTCACTGTCCCGTCTCGGTCGTAGTCGATTTCTTCCATCATCTCCTTCAGAATCTAAAGTGACAGAAAAAGTCAGAGTCTGTGTCAATTACAGCTTTTATTGTAAATTCAACAACAAAAAAAGAAAACCAGAGTTCACCAGGTGAAAGAAACAACGAAACGTGCAACAACACTGTTTTAATTTCTAATTTCTTTTGATGCAGTTGTAGATTTTGGTGAATAAAGAAAAAAGAAAAGCTCTTGGCAGCAGCTCCACAGAGAGCAGGTGTCTGAGTTATTCATCAGACTCTGAGTGTGTGTGTGTGTCTGTTCGCTCACCGGCCGCAGCTCCGTAGAATCCCACTCCAGATATTCTGCCACGTGCACCATCTGATTGATGATGCGATCCAACTCCTACAAAAAGAGAGAAGATGAAAAACCGAACTTCATTACATTTTAAACACGACAGAGGTGAGAGAAGTGAAACGTCTCCTGACTGTGACGGGAACAAAATGCTCCGAGTTAAAGTCGGGGTCAGAAAAGTGAAGTTTGAAGTGTAACAGAGCTCGTGTGTTGTTCCCTGACTGACTGCTTATGTGTGATCACTTCAGCACATGACATAACAGAACCATTACAAGTGACCTCATGTACACACCACCGCTGAGACGCACTTTGTGCAAAGGGACAGAAGAAACGCAGAGAGGTGAAAACAGAGCGACCACTCACCGAGCTGTCCAGGAGCCCGTTGCCGTCTGTGTCGTACAGCCGGAACATGACTAGAGGGAAACGGGAGAACAGAGATCCCATGATGACTCAGATTCCGTCAGATAATTAGCGGCTCTCTGGAGCTGTAACATTTGCTCTTGGACTCTCTCCAGACGGCCTCAGGGTTAAACAAGTGGAGCGAGCTACTTCTGTACCTCTGCATGGGGATCAGTTAGCAGAGATTAGCCTCGTCGGTGCGTGCTGATATAGACCGACACTAAAGAAGTCAACCGGGTGCAGCAGGGCTTGAGCATGTCACTGACCTGCCCGGTGTGGGAGGTGCAACGGGCGTATCTGAGGCCCTGGGGGAGGAGGAGCAGGATGGAGCAGCCTTACTCCTCCTGCTGTCACCCTGAGTGACGTGTCCCTGGGAGCTGCACTAAAGAGGCCTGAGCGTAAACACACATTGCAAAACGACAGCTGCTCCCATCCCACACCCCCTCTGAGGGGAGCCGACCCTCCGCCCTACATCCTCCGTCCCCCTTCACTCACACTCCAGCTTGTCCTCGGGCGTCCCCCTCTCCAGCAGGGACAGGTAGCAGACGATGTCCTTGAGAAAGACCACCTGAGGCGACGGCAGGGTCGAGCCTGTCTGGGGCGAGGGGCTCCTCCGCAGAGACAGATGCTTCTCAGAGTGGCTCCTCTCTGTTGGTGGACGACACAGAGTGTTCAGGGATGAACACGCTCATTATACAAAGGTTATATTCTCATTTCCAGTTTGTTTGTGAGATATCAGACCTGGTGATAGTTTGGGGGACACTGGCGACCTGGCGGGTCCAGCGTTGGGGGTCAGGACGTTGCTGCTGCTGCCCTCTGAGGTTTTGACGTGGCTGCAGGGCGATCGGTGGGGGCCCCCGGGCGTGTGGCCCCCCGTCCCTGAACGCTGCGAGGAGGAGCGGGATGAACACGGGGAGGTGGTGGCTCCAGAGCCGGCTGTGCTCACCACGCCGGAGTGCTCGGGCGTGTAGCGGCCCATTGCGGACAGGATGCTTTTCCCGTTCATACCTGTCGGGGGACGCCACGACCGAAACAGAGGGAGCGGATAGAATAATGGAGGAAAGAGAGAAAAGAAGAAGACATTAGTGGAAGAACAGAGCAGGACGAAGAGAGAAATGTTCACAACAACAGGAACCCAAATACCAAAACACCCAGGAAGCATGGAGGGATGCTAAAATAAAAAAACAAATATTCACAAAGCATCAAGTCACCGTTTGTCCACTGAACCACAACAACACAACAAGAGCACAACAAGCACCAGCGGAGCAGGAGGTCACAGCCAGCGGGGATCTGGTCCCATTAGGACGAACATGACCCTGACGATACCTGTGATGGGGGCACAGGCCACTTCGGTCTGAATAGAGATGCCTGCGTCAATGGAACAAGCCTCTGGGGTCACACGGGGTTTCAGGGGAAACAGAAGGAGACGGCAGCAAGACGCAGGAAGAAAGACGTGAACATCAGTGAAGAAAGAATCATCTGCTCCTCTTACGGGAGGTCTACAGGTTCAACCCTGTTTTTGATGTTTGCCTTGATATCAATGAACACAACACAGGCCTCTATCATACACAGTGTTACAGGACAGAGATTACGTCAGAGCAGGACGTCGCCAGGGTGAAACATTCAGTCTCAGCGTCTTCACAGTAGGAAACCGTCACTGCAGGATCTCTGCAGTCTGGCTGTGTCGCATTATTCAGGATCGTCACCAGGTGGCAGTGCAGATCTACGCTCAGCGTCACTGGAAGTGTTTTTAAAGTGGATTTGTTTGCGTTCAAGTGTCTCGATTTATTTCATCTGCAGGATTGATGAGATGAGGTTGCTCAGATGTTTGTAAGGTCGACATGATGAGATCAGAGGAATCGACTGATGTTCCACATGAGAACATCTTTTATTCATTTTGAACAAAGATCACGTAACTTGACAGAAAGACGCAGCGTCAGATATCCTGAAAAACTGACTGAATCAATCAAAACTCAACCAATTGATGGAAAATGAATCAGCCCACCGTGATAGACTGATGGTTATTGTCGTAGGTAAATGATTGATGTGGTCATTATTAAATAAAAACTTTAACGTTTGTGTATTTTTTTCCCTGAATGTGACAAATTTCCCGAAAAAAACATTAATATTTGGCATAAACTACGTTTGTTTTTTTACCATTTCACATCTGGCAGCACTGAGGTCAAACCTGGACGCTACCTCTGACAAAATGCTGCTACCCAGAGTTCCATGCTGTCGCTCACATCCGGACGCTCTTTCTTGTGGCCTTTTCGCAGAAAAGTATTTTCTAATTCAGTCGTCCATCTGTCTGCTCAGCTGCTCTGTGGTGCGGAGCGGAGTCTGGTGCCAGAGGCCCACGCATCACTCGCTCAGTTTACACCCTGCACTCAGGGCACGGTGCAGCAGATGACCTACAACAACGCCGCTGGAGCCGCCACCGCCACACATCTCTGTCTTCTGCTGCGGTCAGTGTGAAATCAGTATAAACTCAATGTGAAGAGATCATTTGGGATCTCACACTAATTCTCTGTTGATGACACACGCAGGGAAAAAAGACAGGACCCATGAAATAAAGAACTTCTCGATGGAAGATCACAAGGATCAGAATCAGAAACGTCTTTAAACACCTGAGGAGATTCCTGAGACTGTGGATCATTCTGGTGCTGCAGCAGGAATGAAACAAGTCTTAATAAAAACAAGCGGCCTACCCAGTAAGCTGGTCCCGGCTCGGGACGGGTCTGGGGAGCAGCCTCCCGTCTTGCTCTTGAAGGAGGTGAAGAGGTGCTGACACAGCTCCTCTGGGATGTCGTTCTCCAGGTAAGTGGCCATGAAGAGCTGGAAGCCGTCATAGTCGATGGGCTGTGTGGGAGAAACGCAGGAGAGGAGAGAGGTCAACATATGAACTACTGATGCACGGTGAGTTTATCACGACGGACGAATGTGTGATGACATTGATCTGCGCTGAAATGAAAACCTGAAAGTCACATGACACAGCTCCCCTGCACCAGGAACCAAATGAAGAAGATGGAGGCTGCGTCCAGGTTAAAACCTCCATTTACCTCCATCAGCCCCCCCCCACCGCCCCTCACACAGCCATGTGGTGGGTGCATATAAGAGCACTGGACGCAGGACCCCCCCCACCCATGAGCCCTGTCCCCTCAGGGCGTTGGACCATCTGTGGCGGATAAGACGGGGTTATGTCATGTTAGTGGACAGGATGTGCATGCAGTCTGCCGACACAGACACCACACAGCATGCAGAGCCGCCGGGCGGAGGCTTACTTGGCTGAGAACGTCTTGCTTCTGTTAAACAGTTGGAACGATGAAGAGGAGCGGAAGGAAGGAAAGAAGGAAAGAGCGAGGGAGAAGTGGGTAGAAGAAGAGAAGGGGTTACCGTCTTTGGCGGAGAATACAACAGTTTTCTGTGGTTTGATGAGATGATATTTAGGTTTTGGTTGATGCAGGAACTGAACACGTGAATCTCATCTCTTCGTCTCTTCTCAATCCATCCATCATCTTTATCGTTTATCCTTTGAGGGTCTGAGGGATGGGTTTGGGGGGGTTCTAGACTAGAACCGTGACCTTGTGACCTGCTTCTGTCAGACAGACTACACATCAACTCGTTTTCCACTCGGAGGAATCAGTCACATGACTGAACTCCTGCAGAGGTTTAGGAGCAAACGCCCCGGCCTCCAGGATCTCAGAGTTTTCAGAGTTTCAGCTGAGAGGAACAACGCTGCAAAAAAATCCAATCAGACAAAGTGATGGACCTGAAGGTTGGTGACGAATGTGAAAGTCTGAAAAAGTGCAGGAGAAACGAGAGCTGCAGATTAGAGGAAGGAAAAGTTCAGCAAATCGAAACATTATAATAGTCCTCAAAACTTTTAATCATGCAAAACATTTATTGGAGTTTAAGATTTCAAACTTTTCAAAGCAAGTTTCCAAGTTTTGGAACGTGAGCTGATATTTATCTCATACATCAGCACCTCATCAGCTTGGATGAAAGTTTGATGGTTCACTCACTCAAGAGTAATTTTAACTGTAGATCAGTTTTATCTCCAAATGTTCAGCAGGAAACTTTTAAACTATTCTCGACACTCCAGCAGAATGAATCCCCACGTGTGGCTGCAGAGGGCGCTGTTACATAGCGGTGATTTAAACAGATGAGGTTGAGCAGAAAAGAAAACTTATTAAAGCTGCTCTAACCTAAATAAACCCTCATCCTCAGACCGAAGCAGGAGAGTGAAGCCGATCCCGTCAGGACTTTGAGGAAATATGCTTCTTATACGGAGCAGAGGAGCCGCAGTGAGTGACGTCCATCACAGACCAGCATGATGAGGATCCTCGCTCAGCTCACAAACCTGAGAGACCATCACTCATCACCATCTCTCTCCTTATTAGGACAAACAAACCACGAGGCTTTAATTTGCTGTGCATGGCAGGTTCACACACACACACACACACACACACACACACCGATGTGCACATCGCCACAGAAAACACACTCTGCAAATGGACCGAATGATAGAATGCGTTCCACAGTCTGATGTATTGCCTTGAATTTGCTGAAACCACACTCCCCAAATGCATTTGTGGAAATTCTCTTCTCTCCTTCAGAAAACACGTTTCCCCCAGAGTGTAGCTGACGGTTATATTCCCAGAGAGCCGGCTCACATTCAAGGCTGCCAGTCTGTAAACATCTCCCAGGGGCGGCCATGACACGTCTACATGGTTCGTTTCATCTGTTTTTTATTATTATCATTATTATTATTATTCATATTTGTCGGCAGCTGCCAGAAGAATTTGATTTACTTTCTTTTGGCATTAGAAAGGTAGAACTGTGTGGGGGGGGGGGGGGGTTAAACACAGATCAGTTTTAAAACATGTTTCAGGAAACAGAAAGTGACATCGATTAGAATTAAAATGCTATTTTATGATGAAAACAATCTACCAGATGAGAGTTCTAGCTCCGTATCAGTAATAACCTCCATACTAACATACTTGAAACACGTCACATGACCCTCCGCACACACTGGTCATAAACGAGAAGCGGATCGTCGACGAGAAAAAGTGAGCGAAAAGTAAGAGCAGGGATTTGGGTTTTTTTTTCGTACCACGAGGTGGAACTGGAACAGGAAGTGTGACAACGCTGCTCAGTGAGTGGTAAACCTACAAGAACCAATCAGGGAGCAGATTTGGAGTCCTTCACCTGGCCAGAGTAGAAACACAAAACTACAATGAGGACAACAGTGTTTCCAAGAGTCTCCGTTTTAGGGGCTAGTGTTGCTCGTGTGGACGCAGTCACAGAGAAAAACAAACTCGTGCTCTGCTACTTGTGAAGGAATACGTTTTTATGTGAAGCTAAATAATATGTAATAATGAACTCTGGGTGAAGGGAAACTCTGTGGGAGCAAGGCACAGCCTCTGTTCTCCGTCACTCATCAACCTGTTCAGAGGAGGAAACCCAACGCTGCCGACGGCTCAAAGTGTCGGCGGCTTGTTCCCTTTTCTCATCTTTTGTCCTGAGACGTCTTGTCAACGTCTCCTCAGACGAGGCAGCGCTGCACTTTGGCTTCGAATAAGATGAATTCAAGCTCAGAGCGGAGCAGGACATGAGGTCAGAGTCTTTTTCAGTCTGAGTAGATTCCACCGCAGCACAATGGAGCGTCGAGTCATTAGCACTCACTCACACACACACACACACACACACATTGATAAATGTGAGCTGGGCTGTGGTGGTCATCGTGGCGCCAACAGACAGTGTGGTCTCAGGAAGCACATGAACGTTAATTCTGTGGCGCCAAATGTCCAGCCGGGCTGTTAGCCGTGACGCGAGGAGACGCTAACGGCAAAGAGGTGATAATGAAGAGCGGAGGAAGAGGAGGAGGAGGAGGAGGACGAGAGGGGAGGAAGAAGAGAAGACGTAGATGTGAAGACGGCAGAGATAAAAAGAGAGAGACAGTCTTCAATTACATCGTCCTACATATTTAATGAATGTGAGATTATCCTACAGAAACATTACGTAACAAACTCATTTCTCCTAATACTTTATATGACTTTATATTTTATTATATTGTACTTTTATTTAAATCTCTCTGTAAGAGTCTCCTATTGTTTGCCTTCAAGTTTTCATTTTTAAGTTATAAAGTAAAATATAACTGTTTTTTGAAAGGTGCTATATAAATACAGATTATTATTATTATTAGTATTATTATTAATACTGGAGATGAAAACTAGTAGAGCTCAAACGTCAACCAAGGCCAAACAGTCGAGCAGCAGCAGCTCATGGATTTTGCTTGTGCTTCACAACCAAGGTTCTAATGATCTGAGGGTGAAAATACGTCTTGAAGTGAATTAAAACTGAAGTTAAATTTGAAATATTTGAATTTATTCATTTTATCAACATTTAACAGGATCTGCAGGAATATTTCCAGTAGAAGTGGTAAAAATGTAATAACGGTTTATTTCCATCACAACCAGAATAAATGTTCTAACACATTTTATAATAAAACTGAAAATCTCATTAAGATGAATTTTAAAGGAGACGTATGAAAATATTTCAGTGTTTCTTTCCTCGTCGTTTTTTCAGTGAATGTAAAAGTTCTGCAAAGTTAAAAACCAACATTTCCTTCGTGTAAGATTCGACTGGATGTTTTTCTGCATCATCTTCATGTAAAATTTCCTCACAAACGTCTCAACAAACTATTCTTCAGTCGTGAACTCTGCAGGAACCTGAAGTAAAAGGTCAGAGGTCACGTATTTAATCAGCGAGGTCGTCACGTGAAACAAACTGATACAGGATCTGTGATTCAGATGATTTTACTTCATCATTCACAGCTTCACAGGATTCCTACAGAATCCGAGGCCTCAGATAAACTGAGAGACAAAACACTTTACTGATCCCGAGGGAAATTTAGTGGCTCCGAGAACAAACACGTCCTCCCCTCGTTTATCACCTCAGAGGGTTGTCTTGTGATCGCAGGCGAAGAAGTCAGGAAGTTCAAATACACACAGTGTGTGAGTGTGAGAATGAGAAGGGTTGATGGTAGGGTTTAGATTAAAATTTCAAACACAACATTCAGTCACCTGTTGTTAAAAACTTTTAAATTATGTCTCTGATCCTTTTTTCTTTGCTCTCTGACGTGTCCGAGTGTCTAAATGCTCTTAACATACTAATACGTTTTGTTTGCAGCGTCCGTGTTTGTCTGACGTCAAAGCACCTGAACACACCGAAGTAGAACTTCACAAAATTGAAATTGTAGTTGTTCATCTTCATCCGTGAATGTTCCCCACGATGTCTGGGACAGAGTGTAAAGTGTAAAAACAACTGAAACTTGTGTGCGAGCAGAACAGCTGAGCGTTGATCCGCTGACGTCAGCTGCCTCGGTTGACGCGTCTCCATCACAGGCCTTTATCTAAAATCAGAGCCATGACTCAGCAGTCCCGTGATTGATGCTGCACTGAATCAGAGCGAGTGACACCGTCATGTGCTGGTTGTGTCGGAGTGAGAGAGCGAGCGAGAGCGAGAGTGAGAGAGAGAACATCGACCAGAGTGTGATGAAGGAGATGAAGGATGACGAGGTGTCGTGCACACTCACGTGCTCTGGGTTGTACTTGGAAAGAACGCCGTCTCCGTGAAACTCGTCCAGCACGTCCTTCAGCTTCTTGGTGGAGTCTGAAAACAAGAAAACAATTATTTCAATTACAACATTTACACATTTCACAGATTTATTAAAAAACCTCGCAAAGAAATCTTTTTACTTTTTAATCACCACGATAAATGATATGATCTTGATTTATAAATTCACTTCTTAAAACAAAGTAACACAAGTAAAATTATTTAAAAGAACCGTTCAAACTGTCATAAGTATTGTGTATTTTTCAGTAAAGTAAAAGATCTTCTTTTCAAAACCAAACACCAAATCATCGGGTTTTTATTGCGGCCTCACACACGAGTTAGATGAATTGTTGCTTGTTTGGCAACATGATGCAATAGAGGGTCAATATTCTGGCTCCAGGGACGAGCAGCTCGATGAAGACAGACGAGAGCGGACTCGGTGTTTTCAATCCATTCTTTGAATTCTAAGCAGTTTGCAATGATTTCTAACAAAATGAAGAAATATCAGCGTATCAAACATCTGAAGTAAGAACTAAAGTATAAATGATAAATCTCACACGCGTTCATGTAAATAAACCTAAAAGGATGAGGCCTCCACCGTGTGGCCCCCAGGAAACACAACCAGGAAACAGATCGCTTCCTGTATGAAATCTGTGGGTGGAGCCTCAGGCTGCAGGAGGCGTGGCCACTTTCGCTCTCGAAACGTCCCGCAGCGTTTTGTCACAGTTTCCAGGTTGATTGACATGTCTGCTTTGACACTGGCACATTTTCTTTTGACAGGAAAATAATAATAATAACGTCGGCCTCAAACCAGAAAAGACATTTAAACGCCACGCGTGTTGTAAAACACGAGGTTTCAGAAAACTTTCGGATCCTCTTACACGCACAGATGTAATGTCCCTGTCCCACTTTCACAACTACAGGGGACAGACACACACATTCAACCAAACTGGGATTTCTCACAAATTTGTTGCTGCTTCATATTAACCAGCAGTTCTCGGGGGCCCCATCTCAACTCAGGGCCCACGGCCCGGCTTGTTGCAACGCCCCTGACCACCACACACACACTGACGTACACACACACACAGACCTGGTTTCAACGTCGCGTCATAATGAACTGCAGACGACGCCTCATTATTTCAAGTGCTCAGCAGCTTTGCAGCCTGTAAAGCTTTTTCTATTTCTGTCCTGCATCATGTCCACGGAGAGAGAGAGGGAGACAGAGGGGGACAGAGGGACAGACAGAGACAGATAGTGTGTAATCTCCGGCGAGAAGAAAAACGTGATCAGAGAACATCCGGTGAAAAGTCTCGTTGAAGCATTAGAGACCGACGCAGTGGTTTTTATTTACACGTTAAAGTTCTGATCAATCAACTGTGATCAATTAAACCACGTGAACGAAAATAATCAACAAATGACTTTGTCTCAGTCGGTCGATGCAGCTTCATTCAGTTCAAGAACTTTAACTGTTTCCACTGAAGATTATTTTTTAACTTTATAATGTTTTACTCATCTGATCATTTCATTGATTAATCATTAATCTATTTATTTTCCAGGAAGACGTCTCTGTTTGAAAGTTATTTAGTTCATGCAGCAACAATCAACATGTCATTGTCAATTTTTTACAAAATTCAAAGATGTGTTTCATTTGCAATCCAAAAAAAGGAAAATAAAGATTTTTCTAAACTTTCTAAGCTTTTAGAAAAAATGTCTGCAGACAAATAATGAAATAATGAAATAATAAAATAATAAAATAATAAAATAAGGTATTTTTCAACTGATTAACTAATCAAATCATCTCATCAATACAAACTTAATTCAGTTAACAATTATAAAAAATATATTCATTCATTTCAATTGAATTGTTTTAGCTCTGACTGATCACGACTAACGATCATTCTCAGTTTTTCTGCTGATTGCGTTCCGTTAATTAATTGATTATTTCATCATCTTCCCAGAGTCCAGAGCTCGCTCACTTCATATCCACATCCTGAAAACTGAGCGGCTGCAACCGGTAAATGTTTTTCCAAAATGTGATTAATCAAGGAAGTGATTGATTAGTGAATGAACTATTTCAGTTCTGTTGGAGCACATGGTTTATTAAGGACACTGCCCGTTCAGCCTGATCGTGTCTGTTCCCTCCACAGAGAGACGGTGTCCTTCATTAAGACCTTGATTGATCGGCTGCTGATACACATCCCCTCCTCACCGGGGCTGAAAATGAGACCTTCCCGGCAGCAGGGATCTTCCCAGCGAGCACATTTGTCATGTTTCGATTACAGTCCCTTTCCAGAGGAGCCTGACTCATAAACTAAAAACGCCGCTGGACCACAGCAGCAGCAGCAGCAGCAGCAGCAGCAGCAGCAGCGAGCGTTTCTGTGTCGTCTCCTCTGAGTGATGTGGTGTCACCTGACGTGTCAGTGGCTGCAGGAAACCACACGCAGACACCTCCTTACGGCAAATAAATAACAAGAGCGTTATAAACTACAATCGCTGTCCTGTGGTTGCACACCTTCGCCCACCAGAGCAGTCAATCAGTTCATCTGTGAGTCTAAATGAATGTTTGTGCCTGATGCTAAATTATCGTCTCCGGTCAATCTTAAGACAACGTGTTCACCTTTGACCTTTGACCACAACAATCAAATCAGTTCATCCTCTAAAAATAAAAAATATGAGCCTAATTGATGTGACATGGTAAAGTTTACCGACACGTCAAAGGACCACTGAGTTAATTATTAGGGTGTTGATTAATTATTCATATTAGTTACCTGACGTCAGGATTAATGGAGAATATTTAATATTTAATTGTGTCTGTTGATAGTTTACAAGCAGAATAAAACATTTAATGACATTGTGAGTGGATATAAGTGTTGGTTCATTTGTTAACATCTGTGTCGGCTGTGTAGATAATAAATTACAATATAGTGAAATTATGTAAATGCTCTGAAATATATCTTCACATTATAACAGCAGATAAATCAGCTGTACCCGTATGGATCATTAATGCTAAAATGGAGGATTTGAAATAATCTGATAAATGTCCGTGTGTGTGAGCAGAGTTAGGAAATATTTGCCGCAGGCGCCATCAACACTAAGTTCCCTCTCGAGCTGCTCTTTCTCTCCTTCGCTGACGGTGAAGAAGAGACGTGTGCTAATGATCAGGTCGTGGAGATCATGGATTTTTGGATTTGGCCTCAGGTAAAAATGAAAAACTATAACTCACAGCCGTGTGATGCTGGAGTCACAGACTGGAGCCACTCGGACGGAACATAGAGCGTTTAAAAGTTATTTTTCATTGAAGCACTTCTGTCCTCTTCGTAAACAGCTTCTTTCAAAGTCAAAGACCCGGAGAGTTAATTCAATCGTTGCTTAATTGTGTCTGAAGGACTCGTGAGAGGACTGAAGGTGAACGCCGAAGAGGACTGAACTTCAGAAAAGATAACACATCAAAATAATTCGGCTCCAGCGTCCCCAAAGAATCTCCTCGTCTTTCCGAGCTGACGTCTCCTGCATGTATGGCTCCTCCTCTTCATGCTCAGATATTTTGGATTCTTCCAGTTCTGACGTCCGTCACGTGTTTGGGTGAATTTCCGGACATTCTCCTGCTGTTTTCTCACACGAGAGGTCAGTAGTCGGAGTCTCCCCTCTGGTCAGTGACGGTTCCATTCCACCAGACAATCTGACCCGTGTGGCTTTAATCCACACAGGTCTATAAATATAACGGTTTCTTCATGACCGAGACTCGTTCGTGTGAGACAGCGACGCTCAATTCATCATCCACGACAACAGACACGAGTTAAAGTTAAACATTGATGAACCTGGATTCCAGAGAGTTAAACGTAGAACATGTATAATTCATTATTAAAATCTTCTTTTAAATCGTTTCGAGATCGTGAACGTGCCAGATTAACGTGCATGATGCAAATGTGGGTTTACAGGTGAGGTGTGTTTCAGAGAAACTTCTTTTACCAAAGACCTGGAGCTTTTTAACTTTTACAGCCTGAACGAAACCTTTAAAACACACTCGAAGACAGAAACACGAACATCACGTCTCCGGTAAAACTTTGCATAGAGCCTGTACCCTCCGGCGTGAACGCCACATTATTTGGTTGTGCAAACGAAGAGCAGCATCGTATGCAGACATCCACACTGTGCACAGACAACCCAGGTACACGTGGAGACCCTCCATCGAGCCCGTGGGTACTCACACTCGCTGTACTGCTGCAGCTGGTTGAACTCCGCTGGGCTCAGACACACCCAGCTCCCGTCTCCCATGCTGCCTGAAGCCAGGGGCCTGTGCAGGGCTCTGTGTCAGGGGCCTCGAGTGCTGCCGGGGGGAGCTGACGGTTATCCCTGGGTCAAGCTGTGCAATGGGACTGAGGCCAAGAGGTTGTGGGACGTCATCTCGGCCTCGAGTTGAAGTAACTGAGGCCCCGTGAGAAGAGGCGAAGGAGGAAACCTGGTCCCGGCTCAGGTCCTGGATATTACTGAGATTATCCAAATATTCCAGATATTGATATTTTTGTATATATACGTCTGATTTCGAAAGGCGACGGCCCGTCACTGTAAGGAACGACTCCTCATGACTCGGAGGTTAGAAGGTTTCTTCTCCGCTGACCTGAAGAGGGAGGAGAAGAGGAGAGAGAGAACAGCAGAGTATAAATGAAAGTGATCTTCGTCATCCTTTCTCACAATGTCAACAATTTAAAATGGATGAAAAGGTTTATATCAACAGCCCCCGGTGAAAACTCTGTGACTTCATGAAGTCATTGAAAAAGACAGGGAGCAGGGAGCAGGTGGAGGAGCTGTCATGTTTCAGTCTGTATTTATATTATTATTCCTTTATTTATGTCACATTTAAATTCCACAGGCGACAGGCTCTTTAAAACTGAAGCTACGCAGATGAAAGTGAGTGGAAAATATATCATAATATATTAAAATGATGGAGAACATCTGCTACAACATATTGGACTTTTTTTTATTTTCTGATTTCGGATAATTACCGTGATGCGCTTTTCTGAAATGTCCCACATGCAGCTCTTCTGTTTCTGTTCTAACAGCGACACGTCCGTGTTGTTCTGGTGTAAATAAGGAAGGTTTGTGTTTGTGTGAAGCTGAGATGAGAAGCCACAGCACACACATACTCCAGGAGAGAAAAGATAAAAGCATGGGCGACTAACTCCGATTCACCGAGGGAATAACAACGGCTTATTTTTAGAAACGGCTCTGCACCTAAAGACATACGCTGAAAAACGCTGTTTTCATTTGTTCTTCAAAGCTTCACACTCGTGATTCTGCTTCACATGCGAATCAGCCGGAATCAAAATAAACTGTTCGGATGCTTTTTACTTCAGGAGTCGTAATGTTTCGGTCTCTGGGATTTTTCCCTTTGGATAAAAAGTTTTTTTTTATTAAGTTATTTTTCTTGTTGTTGTTGTTGTTGTGGTTATTCTGTCGAAACTAAAAGGGCAAATAATGACTTTCAAATTGTTAAATAGGAATCAGACTGGGGAATTTCTGGACTACAGGACTCCCCCCTGGACTACATGACTCCCCCCCTGGACTACATGACTCCCCCCCTGGACTACAGGACTCCCCCCTGGACTACATGA